TACCGAATTCTTGCAACGGTTTTTGATATGTTCCAATTTTAAATAGTTTCTCACAACATTTCAATTCTATCGTAGCTGGTAGAGATAAACGAAGAAGCTCCATGGTCCAATTTTAGCGAGATTAAAATGTTCAGCGACACTTCCTGCTGGGTCTACAGAATGTCTCTTGTTCTTTTCTTCTATACATTTTGTTACAGATGGCGAGAGATTAGCCAGAATATATTACGGGTGTGCAATGGTGGAATGCTTTTGAATAAGTCTGGGATATAAGATCAAAGCGGCGCAAAGTCGGCAGAGACGCAAGTATGTTAAAGCATCGGCATGCTTTCCGCACCAGGATTCCTTAGAGCGGCTAGACCGCACGTGACTGAAGTCTAAGCCAATGCGTTCCCCCGAAGTACTTCCTTCTGCTATCTACTAAAATCGACGCTAGCACGTCTTTCCCTCTCGTATAATAAAACTAATAAGAAAAAGAAACCGTCTTTCGTTGATACAGTCTGTGAAATATCGTTGGAGGTTCAGTAAAAAAAAAAAAACACGGAATATTTTTTTTTTTCATTTTCTGTCTATATTTCTGAGATGAGGTATTATGTACACTATTTACATTATTCGGACTCTTGTTGTCATATTTATCACAACGTTTCGGCCGTTGTACGCTCCGGCCTCTTCAGGTGGTTGGAATGTCGAACTGAACCCTTTATTTCCCTCACTGGCGTAGACTGTTCTAGTTCCACGTGCCATGTCTAATGGGTGCCAGTTATCAGTTATCTCCTGTTAATTCCCCTAACCAAGTTCTCCACTGCCTTAACCAGGCATTGAACTCACAACTCTTTGGGTCCTGTCACTGGATCTAACTAACGCCTTTATCCACTGTGCCATGTGTCTAACTGACATCCATTAGACATGGCAACTGGAACTAGAAAGGTCTACCCCAGCGAGCAAAATAAGGGGTTCAGTTCGACATTTTTTTTTCATTAACTAAATCGTCTGGACAAATATTCTTGTAAACATGGGAATTGAATATCTGTCTATGTCTCTGAGATTTTTTCCCACAGTAGGTTGCCATTTCTTTCTGCGGTAGACCAGTTACCATCCAAGGCTATAGAATCCGGTTTGTCCTGCTATTTACCCATAAATGGGGGGAAGAGGATTCATACGTTTCCCGAGTGTATTAGCACGTAAGTAACGGATTCAACTGGAATTCGAACTCCGCTCACCGAGTCGCTATCCAATACACCACCGTCACCTTTATAATATAGACAGTGTGAAATCCATCCATCGCTTCTTAAAGACTTACTTCTACTTTGTTTTTATTTATCAATGTCAAGTTTGAAACTCATGCCATTGGCAACTGCAAATTATTACGAACAGAGAAAAAGGATAACATAAATTGTCTGCTGATATCATTGACGTAAGCGCAGTTTCAACCGTTATGTCTGTAAATAAAAACAAGGTACAGGTAACTCATTAAGAAATCAGTGATTAATTTTTTTTATATAGGGTGCGGTAGAACCCATCACCACTACATATACATTCCAGAAACAACAACCATCTGATGGTAAGACATTAGCTACAGGGTGAGACGGTAATAGCGCCCACATTTGAACTGTCACCAGTTTGGTGCTAGCGAAACTTAGGCAAGTGAAAATGGTGTCTTCTTCTCGCTAATATCATATTATTATACGCAGGTATTTCTGGGAGGTATATATTTCTGCTGTATACTGTATTATGAACAGGAACTTGCTTCTAAAATGAGTAAAATTAATTTTTTTTTTCCTTTCTGGAATTGGTAGTGGATAGAAACTATAATGATATTAATCTGCAAGAATTATTAAAAAAAAAAATTTCCTGCATTTTTTTCTATGATTAAACCAATTAACTTAATTAGTTCCAAAATAGTGTTATAAAAAATCGAAATATTATCTTAGCTAAGCGGAAAAGTCGGAATATGTGAACAGCAAGATTAACGCCACGAAAACCACTTTCAAGACATTCGTGAATGTTGTAGTCTTTAAGAATTATTCCATTTGCCTTTCGCTAAATGTTTTACTCAAATTGATGTTAACAGATTCTAAATATATATACTTAATCTCTTAAGCAAGACACAAAAAACAATGCTATATTTCTTTCTTTTTTTTTGTTGCTTTGTATACTAAATTTTCAAGGTAAATAACACTTTACATTTATATTTCAATATTTTCCTAATAGTTCTCTATGACTGTAATTTTTTTTATCTTTCTTTCAAATTGCATAGCGATCTGGAAGAGTAAATGTTAGCGAATTAACATGTTCCCGTTCAGGAGTTGATCGCTTCTCGTTCAGTATTGACTACACTAGAAAACAGAACTATAGATTACAGTCACCTCAAATTTAGCCCTCAGTTATATGCAAAAGTAGACTGAAATTCCCCTTAAGGCTATATATATATATGCTATTAATTTGGATTTCATATACATTTGCTTATGGTATATCAACAGAGATTAGGTGTAAATTTATGTACGTATGTTCAGAATTGAAATTTGCAAATTCACCATTACTAAGCCGTGAGCGAAGGGTAGCATAAAACCACATTAGCTTCTCTGCTCAAACCAGTTTGGTTCACACTGTTGTAATTCTCGTTCAATTCGAGATCAGGCGAGAATTGATGTGCGAGGAACTTAATAAGAAGATAAAATGAACGATACAATAAAGAAGCAAGCGAAGAAGTTGAAAATGGGGGTTGAAGTTAAAGACCCGGAGGCTAGAACGCTGTCTCCTTCATTGCAGGATGACAAATGGGCGTAAATCGATATGTCTCAATCTGATGACACAGGACCGAGAGTGAAGAACTTTCCGAGTAGAGACGTGTGATTGAATATCATAATCCTCTCCCGGCACTACTTATTGTAAATACCTACCTGTCGAAATATATTTTCTCCTTCAATGCCTTACAAACTGAATAATTGTGGTTTATAAAAGTAAAGAAAGATAAAGAGACAAATAAATCATACTAACGAACTTTAACAGGGGACAAGCGACATATGCACATGGATTTAAATGAACGCTTAGGACTCGTTATATTAGTAGTAGTATAATCTTAATATAATAAAGCCAGTGCAGAGCAAAGGGAGGAACGAACTTTTGGTGCGAGTAACATTAACAAATAAAAGGTAATAATTTAATTCAATTGCATTGATTATAAGTTATACATAAGTAACCCTGTACCTATTTATATGACGTTATCTCTATCTATAAAAGGCAGGATGTGTGTGTGTGTGTTTGTGTGTAACGAATGCACGGCCGCAATTTTCGACGGATTTGCACCAAAATTTACATGCACATGCTCCAAGTTAGCGAGAAGGCCAAGACCGACTTTGCATTTCCCAACTCCCATCGATTATGGAAATAATCGATTTTTTCAGGCTTCTACGGCAGTTTTCATGTAGTTTGCGACCATTTTTCTACTGACCAGAGTGAAAGCCTATAGCTGGCTGCCACGAATAGGCAGGAAGATTCTATTGGCCAGCGTGAGAGCCAACAGATGACTGAAACGAATGTTAACTAGCATGCTAGCATGCAAAAAAAATCGATAGCTGCATTCGTCACAAGTGGGAAAAATTTAAATCTGCATGTCACTTTACTCCACTTGGCCCATTTGCTTGCTTAAACTCAACGTTGATTCTGATTCCGCAGAACTGGGTTGGGTGTGAAAAAGTATTTGTTGGTAACATTCTTTTTTCATTCGGTTTTTCCAGTTACGAGTCCTTTTTTTTAAAGCTGATCGTTTTTTGTTCATTTTGTTTAGTTCTTTTTTCGTAACAGATTTAATGTTTAGTATAGAGCTTAGAAAAAATCGCAGTGTGAGAAGTAAGGCATGTAGCAACATCAGCACGGAAAAAGGCACTCCTTTAAAGGCAAGGAAGGGCAAAAATATTTTAAGTCAAGTGATAGCGATTGCTGTATGAGTCGTACGATTTTTGAATCAAGCACGGGCAGCGCCGGGCCATGCTGCTAGTTTAAGATATTTTGTACACTATTTACATTTGCCTCAAGAGAATGCAGCTGTTTCGTCCTATATTTCAATTCAAACTCGGATAGTTACGTTATCACCCAATCGCCATACCAACTGGCCTCGGTGACGAAGACGTAGCGAATCAGACACGATAGAGCGCTGCTCGATAACATATTCCTGGTGGAACTCATCCGAGATTCTCTTTTACCCATCGGACTGTGCCCCCACGAGCCACGACTACTACCAAGCCGATCAGTCCAGAGCATTAGAAACCGGTTCAAGCAACGTTATACAACTGATAGAAATTAGGAGGATTTGAGATAATCATAATTATGTAATTCATCGAGTCTAGAATATATATATATATATATATATATACAAAGAAATAATCACACATAGAATCAATCAGAAGTATTAATGCGATTATTTGCGACATCCATCGCTAGAAAACATAATATATGCATTAAAATACTGTTCAACCATAGTGCGAGTTGATCCTCGTCGATAAACTTGTTGTCTGTAGTTTTCAGTTTATTTGATGTTAAAATGCTAGTACTTACGAATAGTCCTCTATTCATCATCAGGCATGTGTTTTTTCCTTATAAAATCAAAAACTTGGAGACGATATACTTGTATGCTGACCGAAAGATGTTTTTTGAATATCTGCTATTATTGACGGTTGTGTAAGATCTCGGAACGCTAAGTTTTTCAAAATTTTAAGTGAGAATTTTATTTAAATATTTCTTGTGATGTGTTAAATCCACGTATTCTATTTTTACAAGTGTATTCAGTTTTTATGTCATGAACTAAGTATATAGTTCAATAATATAGTGTAATGTCTTAGTAGTAGTTTTTTAACAATTTATATATATATATATATATATATATATATATATATATATATATAAAAAAATTTAATATTTATATTTTTTTATTATAGTGGTTACTTCGTATTGGAAAGAGACGCCGAATATTTTTTTTTTTCAAACCATATGTATTAAATTTCTCAACCAGAAATCTTCGTAAAGAAAATAGATCCCCCTTTGTAGGGGAAACCATCTTTCGATCCATCACGCTTTTTACCTTCGGCTATAGAGAACGTCATGTCAAGCAAGTTTCGCTCTATCACTGATATTGAGCGCTTTCCAATAAGTACCTAGCATAGATAAGATATAAATAATCTATATAAAAATTACATTTATATATATATATATATATATATATATATATATACCACACCAGATCCATCTCTCTGACAGATTCTCATTTAGATAAGCGCGTAATGTCCTCTTCCATTAAATTTCGATCAGTTTCTATGCATTCTGTGAAAATTTGAGATTATTTCAACAAGAATTGCCAAAACCTTTGGCCTGCGAAATGATGTCAATTTTTTGGGGGGACACCCTGTATATTATTATTCTAATTGATACTGTTGTAGGCATCCGTTTATTTCATGGGTTAAAAGTAGCACGTTGTTTGTTCAGAATTCACTCCTTTTGATGTGAAACTAGAGTCGTCTCTCCCGGACACTGGCTTGGGCGATGGAGGTCGTGCGATATGCTCACCTCCTCAGCCGTACCGACAGGATCTAAAGGGAACATAGCAGGTTACATTTGGGAATGGTTTCGTTGCAGAAGTTGCCAAAAAGTTGTCAGCGGTGAGAGGTCACCGTCTTCGAGCTTCCACCCCGGGTTTTCTGTCTCGATTTGCTTCCATAGCATTTTTCTGTGGGTATGACCGCAACTCGGCGAAGGATTAAAATCATGGTTTTTCTTGTCCCAAACGCCTTATGGGGACTGGAACATCCCATAGCCTGAACACCCTATATTCTGGCAACTCCAAGAACGGCAATATGAATTAGGAAGTTGTTGTTTTTTTTAAAATTCAAAACCGTATTTATCCCTAGCGGGGTACATATTTGAACGCATGTCCAGTCAATATAATCCTATCATTAAACACAGTTTGGCCCTGTGGTTGTTAAAGACGAAATCGATTTGAGTAGACGGCCATGTTCAGACTGGAGCGGCCATTTTGAAAATAAGAAATAGGAATGATTTGCAGTCGAAACAGCTACAAAGACACCAGTTCTTAACTATTTTGAATGTAAAGTAGCTGCTCTTGAGATAACAATTCTTAACTTTTTTGAATGTAAAGTAATTTACGTTTTCCGAAGACATTAACAAAAAAGAAAAGAAATACTTTCAAACTAAAGCCGAAGATTATAATTTTGGCTATGAGCAATAAGCGTAAACATATATTTTTAATTTCTTCCACCATTTAATAGCCTAGAAACAAGAATAATTCAGGTGAACTATGAATAAAATATCCAACGTGCTTTTAAAATAACAACGTGCTCTTAAAATAACAACGTGCTCAAGTCTTTCTCGTCTCCCTCCATACATTGAGTCTGAAGGATTCTTTAAATGAGAAATGACTGATTCGTACCACGACTTGGTTGCAATATGACACGTTTTGCACGACATTTAATGCAGAAAGTATGGCTGGAAAACTGTCGCCATTCGGATTTAGAGGCACTAAAAATAAATTGAAAATTTGAGAAGAAAAATCATCTTTCTTACTTATAAAAAAAAATATACTCTCAAATCGATTAAATAAAATTTTAACAACTTTTGAAGAAATGTTTTCTGCTGCAATAATTTTCTAAACGTTTAGCTGGAGATTTTATTCTTAAATTTTGTGATTGAATTTCTAAATTAATTCCATATTTTTTATCTGTCCACCTTATTTAGTCAATATTTTTCTATCTATCTATCTATCTATCTATCTATCTATCTATCTATCTATCTATATATCCTAGCCTGTTCGTATCTATCTCAGTCTGTTCGAATCTATCTATCTATATATATATCTATTTATCTATCTCAGCCTATTCGTATCTATCTCTCTATTTATCTATCTCAGTTTATTCGTATCTATCTATCTATCTATCTATCTATCTATCTATCTATCGTAGTCTCTTAATATCTATGTATCTCACTCTTTTAATCTATCTATCTATCTATCTATCTAGCTAGCTAGCTAGCTAGCTATCTAGCTAACCTAGCCAGTTCGTATCTATCTCAGTCTGTTCGAATCTATCTATCTCTATATATCTATCTATTTATCTATCTCAGACTATTCGTATCTATCTCTCTATTTATCTATCTCAGTTTGTTCGTATGTATGTATGTATGTATGTATGTATCTATCTATCTATCTATCTATCTATCTATCTATCTATCTATCTATCTATCTCTTTATGTCCCTCTCTATCTATCTATCTATCTATCTATCTATCTATCTATCTATCTATCTATCGTAGTCTCTTAATATCTATCTATCTCACTCTTTTAATATCTATCTATCTATCTATCTATCTATCTATCTATCTATCTATCTATCTTAGTCTGTTCGTATCTATCTCTCTATTTATCTATCTCAGTTTTTTCGTATCTATCTATCTATCTATCTATCTATCTATCTATCTATCTATCTATCTATCTATCTAACTTTTTAATGATTTCAACCAGGAAAATTAATTAAACCACAAAAGGGGTTACTGGGTGTTAAAGAATATAAGAAAATCTACTATTAAGGAAAGAGGACAATAAAAGAACAAGATTTAGGAAGTTATAAGATAGCGATTGACATTGCATTTAAATTTTTGAAGATCAAACTTGACTGTGAAGCAAGAAGCTGCAAAAGAGTTCCTCAAGCGAGAAGTGCCATAGAAGAAACTGTTATATAGAACCTACGGTTAATTTCATCTGTAAGATGATGAGACCTTACCGCCAATCCTGTACTGCGCTTAACTTCATAAACTCTTAGTACGATAAAAGAAAGGCCATCAGATCAATTACTATGATACTATTTATAGAAACGGAATACAGAAGCTACATTACAGCGGTGGGAAAATTACGGAAGCCGAGATGCCAGATCTGGACCAATAATATTGCGGATTTTTCTTTTGATTTTATCAGTAATCTCTAAATATATAGCAGGTACACCAGGCCAGATGTGGCACCAGATTTCAAAGCAAGGGGGGAATGGTAAACTTGTAATATAGATTCTGGTGAGACAAATTGTCTAGCACAACGCAAGGAACCAACATTCGTAGTTAGTCTGAGAAGTCACAATGAATCCCACTGCAGTAAGTGAGTAACAGCCGTGTTGATGGAAGGTAAAAAGGTTAAAAAGGGTGCAGTTTCGTTTTGGAGGCGATAAATTAACAAGGCATTCCTTGCCCCCTTTAACAACAGAAAGTAGATTGTTTTTTTAGATCAGCTGCCAATTTGATATTCTCGAGGTACTATTAAGGCAGGAGCAATTGGTAGGGTTATCGGCACAGATAACGAGTTTAGAATTAATGCCACAAGGAAGATTGTTGATAAAAATTAGGAAAAACCTGGTTCCTAGGATAGAGTCATTGGGTACTCCTGAATTAATGAAAAATGATCTAGAAGAGTGGCCATTCAAGACAACTTTCATTTCGCCATTAGATAATAGAAACAGAATCAGATCAAAAATTCTTCCCAAACTAACATAACATATTCTTCCCTATTTAGCTGCTTCGGATTTTCATTTATTTTGGTCTCTACAGAACAATACATATAACAAGAAATATATCTATTTACATATATTATATGACTATTGTTCTCATATTTATTGTCAGTGGAGAGTTCAGTTACTAAAGGGAGATAACTGAGACTGCGATTGGAATGGAGAACTAGAAAAATCTACCTAGGTAGACGAAATAAAGATTTCAGATCGAAATTCCAAAGTATAACATCTGAAGAAAGCCGGAGCGTATAACGGCCGAAACATGCTGAATATGGCCAAGACCAAGACAATAGTCCGAAAATAGTGTAAATAGTTACAACGGCCTAAACGACATGAATATGGCAATAAAGATGGGGACAGCAATCCGAATAATGTAAATAGTGTAAATAGTTACAGTATCTCATCTCAGAAATATAAACAGATATAGAAGAAGGCCGGAGCGTACAACGGACTAAACGTCGGGAATATGGCAATAAAGATGAGGACAACATTCTGAACAATGTAAATAGTGTAAATAGTTTCAATACCTCATCTGAGAAATATATACAAGAAATTTGACTCTGTATAGTCAGTCGAAAATTCATAAATTTCTTCCTGCAATAAAACAATTGAGGGAAAGTAATATTAATGCGAAAGAAAGATTAAAGAAAAGGAAGAAAAGAAAGAAAAGAAAAAAGAAAAAAGAAAGAAAGAAAGAATATATTTTAAATGATGAGAGAGAAGAAAATAATACCAAATGAAAAAATAACTTACTCGTTAAGAAAGCGATATAATGGATAAGCTGATTTTCAGTGTATACAAGCTACCCCCACTTGGTATATTGGCGCAACATATTCTTCCTTTTTTTCCTCTGAATTGGCAGTGAAATACTACAAAGCCAAACTTCTTAAAGATTAACTATAAAAAAAAAAAAAAGCGAGAGAACAAAAGAGAAAACTAAAACGGGATTCAGAAAAAAGAACAGAAATTTCTAGAAATCCCAACAATGGAAGTAACAAAAAGAGAAAAAAATAACTTGGAAAAAAAATAGAAATATATATATTTTGTAGTAGTTTCCGCCCTTTTGGGCAACACCTCCCAAAATGGCGGAAACGACTTCAAAATGCCATGAATCTAAATGCTGACATCCAAGATAGACAGGCTTCTTTAATTTGAAAGACTGATGCAGCACAATCTTCCTGAACATATTTCTTTCTATTTGGCCTTGTCACGTATTAAGGATCTGGAGAAACGCGCGCGTAAATATGATCGCAAAAAAAATATAAGAGAAGAATTAATACATGGATGAAGAAAATGGGCAATACTGGAAAGTATAAATGGCATCAAGTGAAAAGAGGAAAACAAGATAACAAAGTTACTGGGAGAAAAAAAAAAGAACAGTAAAGAAAAAGACGGGAAAGAATCGATCAATAAAAAAAGGGGAACAGGAGCACTAATAGAAAAAAAAATAGAAAAGCGAAACGAAGGAGGAAATGCTAAAAGAAACAAGACAAAATATGGGGAAAGTGAATGCAAAAAAAAAAAAAATAAAAATTAAAACTCGTTTCGCAGAGAAAATTGCCCAAGCGGAAACGATGTCTCCATCTTATCAGCTTTCAACTAATGAATATTGCATAGACCCTGATTTGCAATACAAAACCAATTCTCCAGCTTTTAATACTAACGTTCAAATAGTGACTATTTTTCTGTTATTTCCATTAAAACTATTAATACTACGAATAATAAAATAATAATGTAATTGGTAAAATAACATTAATATGGTTTACACTGCTTCGCAACAAGAAAAAATAAACACGGAAATGTTCGTACCCACTATAACAGGAGAAATAGGGATTATGAGAAACATATTAAAATGTATCTACTATCGTCAAGTTCAAATTCCTTTCTGGTCATTTAAACAGAAGTAGAGATAATCACTCCTTCCCTTTTTAGGACTTTTTTTTTATCTTTCACTTCCAGTAGAAATGTGATTGTACAGAAGGATGCTGAGTATACAAGCATCGACGAAGGGCCGAATATACGAGCAACGACGAAGGGCCGAATATACAAGCGGTGGCAAATGGCCGAATATACGAGCAACGACGAAGGGCCGAATATACGAGCGGCGACGAAGGAACGAATATACGAGCAGCGGCGAAGGGTCGAATATACAAGCAACGACGAAGTGTCGAATATACGAGCGGCGACAAAGGGCCGAATATACGAGCAACGACGAAGGGCCGAATATACGAGCAACGACGAAGGGCCGAATATACGAGCGGCGACGAAGGAACGAATATACGAGCGGCGACGAAGGAACGAATATACGAGCAGCGGCGAAGGGTCGAATATACGAGCAGCGGCGAAGGGCCGAATATATGAGCGGCGACGAAGGAACGAATATACGAGCGGCGACAAAGGGCCGAATATACGAGCAACGGCGAAGGGTCGAATATACGAGCGGCGACGAAGACGAACGAATATACGAGCGGCGACAAAGGAATATACGAAACGACGAAGGGCCGAATATACGAGCAACGACGAAGGGTCGAATATACGAGCAGCGACGAAGGAACGAATATACGAGCGGCGACGAAGGGTCGAATTTACGAGCGCTGACGAAGGGCCGAATATAAGAGCATCGACGAAGTGCCCAATATACAAGCGGCGACGAAGGGCCAAATATACGAGCAACGACGAAGGGCCGAATATACGAGCGGCGGCCAATGGTCGAATATACGAGCAACGACGAAGAGCCGAATATAAGAGCGGCGACGAAGTGTCGAATATACGAGCAACGACAAAGTGACGAATATACGATCGGCGACGAAGTGTCGAATATACGAGCAACGAGAAAGTGCCCAATATACAAGCGGCGACGAAGGGCCAAATATACGAGCAACGACGAAGGGCCAAATATACGAGCAACGACGAAGGGCCGAATATACGAGCGGCGGCGAATGGTCGAATATACGAGCAACGACGAAGAGCCGAATATAAGAGCGGCGACGAAGTGTCGAATATACGAGCAACGACAAAGTGACGAATATACGATCGGCGACGAAGGGCCGAATATACGAAGCAACGGCGGAGTTTTAGTGGAAATGGAAACAAAAAAGCTTATGTTTGACACCAGGAAAACATAATTGTAGTTTCTGGGGCACATAATGAGGAAAAAAGGCTTAGAAAATGTGAAAGTCACTGGACATATTGAAGAAGAGAGGAAGAACATAACCTTTCTAACGAGATCGTGTAAATGGTTGCCAGAACAAGGATTAGGAGAGATAGCAAAAGCATAAGCTTTATTAAGAGTTGCAAAAGACACGACATTATGAAGAGCCATGATAACCCACCTCTTGAAGGAAGAAGGCCAATGAAAAAAAAAGACGGCAACATCTCACTTAACGACGATGTCGTTTAGCGACCAGGTCGTTAGAACTGAATCTGGCCGTTAAATGAGTTGTAGATATATATCATTTTGGAAAATCTGATACTCACAGGGCAGATTGAAAGCAAGCGGGACAAAGGGAAACAACGCATAATATACTTAGTGAGCTTGATTTATTTAAATGGCGGAACAAATTTTAGGAGAGACAACAAAAAGACAAAACTTGTTAATAGGTACGAAGGACAGGGAATGTGCAAAACTACCATCGCCTATGTCCTGAGGGGACATAGCAAATAAAGAAGAAAACCTTGCATCATAGTGGCATTATCGCTTGGCTTGGGTGAATTGATTAAAAAGATAGATTTTATGAACTGGAAATTTGTGCAAAATTCGTGATGATCCAAACTCTTGCATGATGGCATGTGCAAGAAAACTAAGGTAGTATATCAGGCTAGCAAATATCAGCGGTCTGAATCGATATTAATATCTGTAATAAATGTTCTCGGAGGATTTGAACTGTGGAGACCACAGTACATTACTGGACGCATCGTAAGAGACAACAAATAGTCTTTGTACTCGGTG